AAGGAATTTAGAGGTTTTTCCTCTCTCGGAGGTATCGCGGAGGTCTGACGTACAACGATTGCGGACCGTCGGTGATCGGGGATGTCAAAATCGAATTTATAAGTATTCTTGGCTCTCAAAGTTACATTCTCGAGCGCGTCTCATGGGCTCCCGAGACCGCGCGGATGATTCAATATCTTTCGTGACGGAATCGATGCCCTACTCGTGAAGAATTCGTGATCGCTCGTGAGTCGTTGATACGATGGGCGATGATCCATACGTTATCGAGGGAGGATCAGAAATTGCGCGGTAGTATTCTTCCCGGACAGCAGCTTTTTCCCCCGCAGGGAGACAAGGTATCATGTTCCCGAGATGCTCTCGTGACAGACCCCGACACACATTCCATGGCGGCACTGAGGCCGTCCATTCGAGGGATGAGTTTTGAACGAGAGCAGCGTTTCCCTCTTCCGGCGTGATCGTCGCGTTCTTCCCGCAGGCTCTTGGAACAGTAGCACGGAAGGAAAAAAGCTGTTTCTGCCTAAAGCGGAGGCGGCTGTAGGAGGAGGAAGAGTGGGGGAGAATCCGTTCATGGCGGCGGGACGGGGAGAAGATAAAGGAAAAAAGAGCATGGGTAAGGGAAGCAAGTGATCCAATAGGGTCGCTGCCTTCAGGAGGCCCTTTCCCGAGTGACAGGATAAAGCCCGCCTCTGATTGTCCCATTTACATTCATCAGGGCAGCTGCTGCAGCTGCCGCCGCTACCGAGGCTTCCAGCCCTTCGCATTAGCGGCACAAGACGGCGAAAAAGATCTCGTTCCGCGCCTCTGAAAGGCTTGCCCGAGAACGCCTTCTTATTTGAACGGGGGGCAGAAGGAGCCGCTTCGATAAGAACAACGCCTGTATCGCCACTAGCTGCGAGGCTGCTGTACGCGTACCAGTACACATTGAGACTATCCTCCGATAGGGGTGTCTCTTCGAAAATGACATCGACTGCTCCGAGGAAGCGGCTCTTCGGTTTTAAACACGATTTTTCAACAGGAACACACCGATATCGGCTCAGAAATCTAGCAGAAGCAATACTTTGATTACCCAGCGGGCGGCGCTGAAAAAAGCAAATGACATTTCAATATCTGCGAATCCATGTCATCTTATAGGCATGCGCCGGCACAGTCGAGGTAGCAATAAAGGATCAAAATACTCAATCTCAGGCGCAATCGGATGGTCCGATACCATCCGGCAAGTGACCCAGGTGAACTGCGCTGCGTTCCACGGATATTCCGCTCGGACCGAGCGGCTGAGGGAATAGAGCCTGAACTGGAATTGTCACCTTTCGCTTGAAGGTAGTTCGCTAACTCGACTCGGGCTCGAGTCTTGCACTAGTCCGCTATCGCCGTGCTGTGGTCAACATGGTCACAGGAAATACAGTAATAAATACACTCACAGTGACTCGGTGCTGCAGTGTGCGCCTCTCCGCCTCGGTTTACGAGCAGCTTGAGCGTGTCCTGTACCCTTTGTGTGCAAGCCGAGATCAAATCTTTCGTAGAATGGTAACGAACGGCTCCTGCTTTATTTCGGAAGTAAACTACCGAGCTGGAGCGACGAACACCATGGACACCTGAATGTTTTCACGGGATCTGTTGACCCGAAAGTCTCCTCAGCAGACCTTACGATGACGAAAGGGAAAATATCATCTCTGAGTCCTCGGCCGGAGATGTCAGCCTGCGATCCGCAATCGGAAACTACCGTTAATAATCTAATCGGAGGCCAGTCTCCAATGTACGGGCAATCTCCTATAGACGGGCAGTTTCGAAGGAAAGATGCATTAGACGGGCAGTCTCCAATAAAGGAGCACTTTTGCGGGCTCGAATTCAGGTACCCGAGTCGCGGAAATCGCAGAATTTCTCTCGCGGCTCGTTTGTGCGACTCTGTGTGCCTGGGATAATGATTTGATGTATTCGGTGTAGAACGGCAACCTAGGTTAGCGGACTCGATTCGCAGTAAGTGGACGGGGGATATAGGCAAGCAGTCTTTGATAAAGAGGAGCAGGATTCGGATGCTCGAAAAATAGACGGACATGCTCGTCGACTGGTAGAATATTTACGGTACACAACTCCGAGGAATCGGGGGAAATATCATATATCATCTCCGAAAATCGCAGCGGTTGTGAAAGTTCACCACCGACAAAACCCTTGACACTTTCTCCTTTCAACGATCTACTTATTGAGAGACGAGCTCATTCATGAGCTCCTTTCATTGTCATATGCGAGAACAAAGCCCATGCGAGCGACCAAGCAGTTCATGGGGGCGACTCCTCGTCTCCTGCTTGGGTCTCACCTCATGAGCTTGCGGTATGGAGCGCGATTCTTCTTTTTGCGAATCTGCCACTGTGCCGAGTAAAATAATGTGTATTAATCCACCGATCTTGGAACCGAGTCATCGAGACGAGTCACGGCAATTCACGTTGAATTCAGTCATATTTTTCATTCCCCATGATGAACTGCGTTCGCTCCAGGAGGGCTCAGAGTCGTCATCGTAAAAATGAAAAAATGAAAAAACATCTTTCGCAAGGTGTTCGGACTTCGTCTACAAACGGGTACATCATCAGCGCCACGTCGGTGCTCAGAACATGCAATCCGTGCACAATGACAATAACGATCGTATGGGAATTTTGTAGAAGAAGCTCGAAGAGGACTTTTCGCACTTCGTCGAGCTCGTCGTTCCGGAGATCGTCCGCCGGGATCTCCAACACAGGGCAAGGCTCGTTAGAGATCAGGTCTGCAATGGCGTTCGCAAGCGCAGATGCGACATCGTCCCGGCTCTGCTTACGTTCCCGCAGAGATGAGAAAGTCAATACGCCTAGATTACTATTCTTGAAGTTCCCTGCCACAGAGTTTATGCTCTCCCACGATTTCGGTGATTGTCCGGGGAATCTCGCAGGGAGCGAATTCAGCGGGATCCTCTCCATGTCTGACGTGAGTCTGATTCTCAGGCTTCGAGGACTCCGGAACGAGCTGAGAAGTTTTTTGATTCCGAAAGGGGACGAATCCCTGGGAATTCGGGGGACGCCGCGCTCATCGGAAAAGACCTCGAACGTCGTAGAACACATGCGACTGCTCAGCCCAGTGACCCAGTCATACCCAGTGACACGTCTCTCGCCTCCTCTGGTATTCAAGGTTCGAGCATCGTCAGCTTCTGCTCTGCATGTCCATCTATCGCGAGGTGTGTTCTCAAGTATGTCACGTGCCATGGGATAGCTTCGTTTTTGTCATATTTCGACGAAAGTTCCATTTCGGGAGCGGTCCTTCCAGAGTTTCATGTCGTCGTAGTCTAGTGTACTCATGCCCAATTCGCCACATTGTACTGCGGTGGGCACATGACGATCCATTCGCTGCCCGTGGAGAGGACGGTGCGTTCTTGTTCTGGTTACGCCGCGATGATCGTTTATTATCACGCCGACGATTCGAGGGTGACTTGACGACCAATCGGAGAGACAAACAGGGGGAGAATATCCCCCCTCATATCTTCGAATGGTCTCGCACGCGCACGGAAGTCGTGCCTTCGATGAGAGCGTAGGAGCTCCAGAGGCCAGCGCGAGAACGTTAGCCGCTTGATTCGGAGAGGGCTTTAATGAGATAGAAGACTATGCCGTATGGCCTACGTGTTTGCACGATGGCCCCAGCGGAGATTGCCCAATTCTCATCTCGGGGAATGGGAATAAGATAATAGAGTCAGCCTCTTATATACGATGCCTTGTGACACAGGAGAAAGATCGTAGTTTCTATGTTCTCCTATCACCCTCAGCGACGGTCGAACTCCAGCTCACTGCGTTCGCGTAATCGGTCTTGAAGCTCACGAAGACGCGTCGGGCTGAAGGCTCATCCCAGATGCCTTCTCGACCGCGTCACCTCATCCGCAACACACAGTACTTATGTTGTGGCGACACATGGTGTGAGCCGGGGTACTTTTCTCTCTACGATTTCGGAGCGAGCCAGAGGCTCGCTTCTGGACGGCGCTCCAGATCTTGCGGATTGATCCAACTAGCTGACTCGCTCAGGATCACCGCCATCAATGAATCCTTTATGGCTCTTCAAATCCGGGAACAGTGCGATTGAAGAATTCCACCTGCAACATCGGGGGGCTTGTTCCCCGCTTTCCTCACTCACCCGCTTCGGCCTCACCGCAACAGTTTTCCAGGAACGTGATAGTTGCGAGAGGCCAACCGCCCCGATTTGGCGCTCCTGGAAGAAGACTTGTCCATAATTCATAATCGCTTGCGCATCTTCAGTCGATCTCTATCCCATCAGAGCTGTGATTCGCAGTCATAGTCAGACAAACAGTTCGCGTCTGAAACCGATGGATTCTTGGACTCGTCCCCGTGGCCAAATGGAAAAAACGTTGATGAAAAAACTCCCTCTGGAAAAACGTCCCGTAGCGCACTGGGGATCGGAGACGTTGCCTGATGGGGAGCGTCGGCGTCGTCGACTCGCTTTCAGCTCCCGATTTGATCGGAGCCCAGGTTCGAGTCCAAATGCTGCCCATGTTGAATTAATGCTGAGACATCTGCGGGTGTTCCTAAGCTAAAAGTCCGCGGGTGTCCGTCGGACAGAAGTCTGAGAACTTCGAAATCACGTGCCCGCCCGGGTGGCCCTCTGACACGGTCCTTCATGGGGGGCTATACTCTTCTTCATCAGATCCTTCATAAGGCAACGGTTCCTCCTTAAAAAAATCTTTGACGTGCGGCCAACCGCAATTGATCCTCGGTAGGTGCATTCGGTATTCCGTCCACGTCCTGCCCTGCGCAGTCACTCAAACGGTACGGCGCTCGGATGCGGCCTTGCCGCGGAAAATGCCACTCACCCCTTCGCTCCAGCTCCGCTCTTTCCGCCACCCTCCCTCTCTACCCCGGAGGAAGGGAGTCCGGTTGTCAATGGAGCTTCGAGAGAAACACATGGGATGCCCCGTTTCGCCGACCTCGGAAACCGTTTGACCCCTTCTGGGAATCCGAATTGGATTGAAAGTCAAGATGCTCTCGAACTTTAAATATCTCTGCGATATGGACAAGAAGTCGGTGCTGATTTCCAACTTCGAGAAACGCGGCTGGACCGCCGCCGACCCAGACAGTGACGATTGGCAGTTCTACTGGGCTTCTGTGCCAACAGTCAGAGATCTTTTTTCTCTCGACAACAAAACTCGACGTCTTCAGCCCAATCAGATGGTCAACCACTTCCCAACCTTCTACGAGCTGACGCGCAAAGACCTCATGGTACGGAACCTGAAGAGATACCGACGCGACATCGAGCGCGAACAGGGCACTAAATTGCCTGATTTCATTCCGGCGACATTCATACTGCCTTGCGATTATAACTTGTTTGTTGAGGAGTTTCGGAAGAACCCACAATCCACCTGGATCGTTAAGCCTACCGGCAAGAGTCAAGGAAATGGTATATTCATCATCAAACGCCTAGCCCAGCTGAAGAAGTGGCAGAAGGAATTGTCGGCAGAACACGCCACCGGGGCCAACAAAGAGCTCTTCGTAATTTCAAGGTGAATTTCTCTCGATTGGACGTCGATCAATTCGGTGCATGACGAGGATCGAAGCCGGCACTCGAATCATACTTTCCCTGGAAGGATTGATATCCGAATGGTAATTCGCAAAATAATCTTAATGACCGAAGGCTCGTTGGACCACAGGTATATTGACAGCCCGTTGCTGATCGGAGGCAGGAAATTCGACCTGCGTTTGTATGTTTTGGTCACGTCTTTTCTACCATTGAGAGCTTTCCTCTACGACGAGGGCTTTTGTCGGTTCTGCCAAACTAAATATTCTACGGATGCACAGGAGTTAGGTGAGTCGGAGGAGAATATGTCACGGCTGCTCGAGAGATCGCATACGATGTCCGAGAGAAGATTTCTCCCATGCGACGGTGGGCTGTGAGGCGATTTTTGACCCTTGTGATTCTTCCACAGGTAACATGCTCGTACATCTGACGAACGTTTCGATCCAGAAGCAAGGCGAAGAGTATAACTCTTACCACGGAGGTAAATGGTCGTTGCATTCTCTGCGTCTCTATCTAGAGGGAATGCGAGGCAAAACCGTGACGGACGAGCTCTTCGATAACATCAGGAGTCTAATCGTGCATTCGCTCAAGGTATTTTCCCAAGTGTTCGCTTTCCATCGTGACGATTAGTGACAGCCTCCGTCCTCAGCCGGACCTATTGAAGACCTGAATCATTTTGGGCGCTTGAAACTCGATCACAAGAGTTCTGATAACTTTTCAGGCCGTCTCGAGCGTCATGAACTCAGACCGACACTGTTTCGAGTGCTACGGGTACGACATTATCATCAACGAAGAACTCAAGCCCTGGCTCATCGAGGTGAATGCTTCTCCATCTCTAGCGACAACCACCACTAAGGACAAGCAGCTGAAAGAGAAACTCATCGCCGACCTTCTGGAGCTCCTCAACCCCGAAGGGTGTGATGTTCGAAACTCTCAGACGTCTCTCGCTGATTTGAAAATGGGGAACTTCAGATTGATCTACGATGAAGCCAGTGATTCGTCGAGAACGCCCTCTGGGGGACGGAAGAAATTGAACAAATAGGGGTGCCCCCTCGTCGACCATCGAATTGAGATTTCTACTCAATTCCCTTCCGATTCCATCAGAGTAGTCGGAGGCACTCATTGATCTAGCCGAATTTTCTCGCCGCTGTATCTCAGAATGAAGGTGATGTGCCTTATGTCGGAAAACGGGAGGGAAGCCCCTTCTCCGGAGTTCCAATAGAGATTCCTCGCTCTCTTCTATTTAATAATTCAAACTTTGCACCGAACATCCCAGTATCGGAATGCCTAGATAAGATCATGGGGGAGTAGCTCTGTTCCTTGTTAAGCCCTCCAGCTGTTAACGTTCGAGAATCCAGGCGTATCTCTTCGCCTCTTTCTAGACGAATAAAAGCACCGTAAAGGAGTTATCGGACTTCATTTCATTTCAGAGCGTAAAAAATCACTATCGAAAATATTCACAAGAATGCAGTCCTCAACATGAGAAACGTTGCCCGGGATCACAACTCGCTTTTCGGTTCGAAATCTTCGTTCCGTGTGACCAGGCTGAGGTCGTTTCGGAAAATTGAGATCTTCTGTGAGCCTCATCTTGTCGACGAGAGAAAGACGGAGGCTGGAGCTTCACACGTATTTAAAGCACTTCTGCTTGTCTTGAGGGACTCTCGTCTTGAACAGAACCGAATCAGCTCTCAGCTGCGTGTACAGCAGAGGATTGTATCCATACAATTGCGTGAATTTGTTTATACAATCGTGCCGCTCCAAGAAGTGAGAGTCGTGTTCCGAGAGCGCTATGGGGCATCCAGGGCAGCGGAAGGTCCATTTGGAGGTCACCTTCGAACAGAAAATATGAATTTCAGTGTCTCAGGGTGTGTTTCAGACGGGTCGCGGGTCAGACATCGAGGCCAGATTCTCTCACAGCCCACGGTACTCAGGACAAATCAGTAGTTTCACCTTTATGGGCGGTTTCCTCGTCAGATGGGAGACGAGGAAGTTGAGTGCGATGTCTTCGCAATTCATCAACTCGTCGACGGTCTCGCGTATTTGCGGATACATGTGATGTGTATACTCGTACATGTAGTACTTGTGGAAGAAGGCTGCCCCCGTGAGTACCATTGACAGTTCACAGCTATGATTGGAATTGTAATTCCACATCCTAAAATAGAAATCGTTCTATGGGACAACAGGGATATTCTTCCGCCGCAATAACCAGGGTTCCCGATCGGGTCAAAGTAAATGTATTTCCAGCTGCTGGAACTCACTTGTGAACGGGATCGAATGCATGGAATCGTCCAGGGAAACCCACAATCCTGTCACGATTCTCCCTCCACACACGAAACGCGAAAACAAGCTCGTCATGTCTGAGTCGAGCATCGTCATCCAGAGATAGTATCGCTTCCGTCTCTATTGCATTCCAAGGGATGAAGCGATTGTTCAAGGAATTCCTCGGAGCTTTTATCACCTACGAAGGGAGATCGATTTTTCCAAATCCCAAGACTGGGGAAGGATGGGCTTGAAACGGGAGTGGATCGAATCGTTCATCAGCATCAATCATTTAAAGGATTGGGATTCGAGCATGAGTACTGACCTGAATCGGAACGCCGATGTCGGGCCAAATCAGCGTTTCCGGACCTGGAGACTCCGGTCCATTCCAAACGACTAGGACCTTGTTGAGATATGGCATTCCTTTGAGGGTGGCGACACCTTCCAAAAGAACTTGCTGTCGCTCGTAGGTGAGTATGACAGCTGTGAATTGCTCCCGAGGACTATTGCCCCCGAGAGCTTCCGAAAACTCTTTCCCTGATCCTCCGAGACCCCCACTGGAAAAATCAGCAATTTGGGAAAGATCTCAGCATAGCGCTAGAAGAGCGAGTCGATCGATATAAGATGCCAATGCTGACACGACGAGAGTAGACGATCGCCGCTGCTTACTCACCCGATAGGTCGGAAACCAAAACTGCTGCCATTGAATTTGGCATCGCTCGGCAGAATCGGATCATCGGGTCGCCATGGGCTCAAGCGATGAGGATTAAAGTTTTCGTTGAAGGAATCCTCAAGGAAGTTTATGGTCAGCGAAAAATTCCTCTGGTAGGCAACGGAAGGGTACGGCGTGGCGAGAGGTCCGAGCATTTCATCTGTTTCCGCAGAATACTGCAATTTTTCATCCCGCCGTTATGCATGCGAAACATTGAATTGTCGGATTCGGCCCACGGAAGTCCCCTGGAGAGCCCGGGACGCATTCAAGAAAACGAACCTGCTGAATGACTGGTCCAAATTTCAGATCGTGGACGAGGTCGCTCCTCTGATCCGCGAGAGGCGGCGCCGGCATCGAAATCTTGTGCCTGACTGTACTGAGCAGAGTTTCTACAAACGCTTCAGGCGAAGCCAAGTATCTCTCATAAAGTCTGCGGCCTTGTCTCCTCAAGGCGACAATATCCGCATCAGAATAGGATTTCAACACGAATTGGAGCTCGGAAGCGTGCGCCTTGGCCAGAATGACGGCGGCTTTCTCCCAGTGCACGAGATCATCGAATGGAAGTCCGATATAATCGCCTGTGGAATTACCCCGGATCGATCAAATTCTGGACGTGAGAGTACGAACCGGTGTTTCGCGCCTCTCTCATTTCCAAGTTCCTTCAGCTCACCTAGAATTACGGGTATGGCGCCGTGACGCATAATTTTCATGAGTCTCCGAGTGAAGACGTCGGAGCTGGCATAGTAGTCACGTGTTGGTGCTATGAGCAGAGCGAAGGTCGAGTCCGCCAATTGCTCCCCTGCGACTCCGTCGCATTCTATCCATTGGCCAAGGAGTCCTAGAAAGGAAGCGAAACATGCCCATCGCAGGGTGAATCTTCAAAACGTCTTCGGGAGCATTTTTCTCAATTTATGCATTGAGACTTCGACGAGTCTTGAATCGGAGATCGGCGTTTTGATCCGGATAAATTACTTATCAGCTCTCCAGAGAAGGATCGAATCTTCTGATAGCAGAATAAGTGCCAGGCTCACCGTCGGCGAAGTTGGTGTCGTTCTCATCGATACAATTGGTTTTGATGGCTGCGAGGTCGTCACTCACGCTGATCTGACTCAGCAGTCCCGCGATGTATTTGTCCGACAGAGAGGCTTGTGAGATTTTCGCGGAGCTTTCGTCCTCGGACGGCTCCAGGTAAGAGCCCGAGAAGCTCAGAAGGAATTTCCGGCGGGCTGGCAGCAGAGACGGCAGCGCTGGAGGATCCAGTTGGAGTCTCTGCGGATTGAGAAAAGGAGCTCTTCACGTCAATTCGAACGAGAAGAAGAGTCTGACACATGTGTGAAGGAGCCAGACATGCCACTCACAGGCAATACGATGTCGAAGCCTTTACGCAGCTTGTTTGCTCCGAAGGACTGTCTTGCGAGGATCGCTCTGCCTGGGGCTTCGTGCAGCTCGGAGACGCAGTTTTCTTTCCAACAATTATCCAGAACCACAATCACATGATTAGCTCCGTCGCCGTTCCAGAATGGCAGGGACGTGATATCCGCGTCTCGCTGTTGTTGAGCCGAAACGAAATATACAAATATACACGCTGTCTCGGGATTTGACGTCGACTGAACGTTCGACGCTAAAGTTTTCGCTAGTTCCTTGCGCAGGGCATCCGATACCCCTGGTAGATTCGACTCCCTGATCGGATAGAAATAAGCCTGTGAAAATCAGTCGCCCGATTAGTGATCGGATGAGGATTCGGCTCCTCAGCAATCGCGCTCGTCTCGCTTATTGTGAGACACCTTGTGGCGAGCAACGAACCTGGAAAACTCTCTTCAGAGGGCATCTTGAATAGTCGAAACATCGATCGTATGAACACGATTTTATACGGGACGTGAGATTCGTCCGCTTCTTCAATGATCGTCCTTCATTGGAGAACGGTATTCGTAGAATTGGGGGGGCTATCGACCGGAACTCTTCAAGGGTCCTGCGACGACATGGATTTTCAGATTGAAAATAGACTAAAGTCGTCCGACATCTAGGAATGATTCGGGCCCACAGCTGCCGCCGAATATCAGTAGAGTTCGGATTCTCGATCTGCATCGGAACTGTTTATCTATGTGTGCTCACTTCGAAGCTTCAGCCAGTGACAGAACGACGCGATTGAGATCCCGTTGCTGACACTTGAGGTTCTCGCTCAGGTTGTCCCGTTCTTGTTGGAGAGCGTCCGTCTCCCGCAGGATACTCGTTCGGTTCTTCTCCAGGTCCCGGAGCTCCACTCGAACTGAAACAACGTGCTCCACTGATCTCCACGGAATTCGAGTACGAGATTAGGATCGGACCGCCAGAGTGTAGACATAGCCCAGACGGGAGGATCTGAGCGTCGAACGTTTTCCCGAGCCGGAGCAAGGGGCAAATAACGATTCGAGCACATCTCGTTCAGAGATGTGCTCTACGGCTCGGGTCAAATCCGGGCTGCACATCTGCTCCGGGGAATTGATAGCTGGTCGCCTAGAGTGACCATCCGATCGTTGCGGCGATTGGCATTTTCTCCGCGTTTTCACCATGCATCAATGACTTACCGGACAGGTCATACTTCTCCTTCTCCGTCAAGCGACCCAAAGATTGGGTTTGGTTGGAAACGGAGCCGTTCCTATACAGGATAGAAGTCGAGAAGAACGGCAGGCAGACCGCGCACGTAAGGGATATGACGACGGCGGCTACGATCCGTCGCCAGTATACCATGCGGCAGTAAACACGCATCGTGAGCCAGTGAGCGCTCTCATCTCAGCTTATGAACATGGTCCTGTGTGCTTCTCTCAACCTCGAGGCTCATTCAGCTTGAGCGATTTGGGCGACGATTCATTTACGCTGTACCCTTAGATTCTTCATGTCTGTCTTCGCAACAGCTGATGAGAGTCGTCAGATAGAGAGGAGCGGAGAAGGGAGAGGGCAATCTGTTGTTTACAAACATAGTACTGCCAGGAACTCGAATCCGTACCCGCGAAGCCGAATTTGCCGCAGAAAGCTTGAGGATTTGCAAAAGTCAAGTCTTCGAGGGGAGCATACACGAATCACGGTACGCTAGAATTCGAGCGTCGCTGAATATTTCTGGGGGAAGGTCAGCGCAGCGATTATCATGTTTTTCACGAAGTACACCGAGCCGAACTCTATTGGGCGGTCTTGCTGCTTCTTTCCGTGGGTGGCTACGCGGACTCGAAGAGAAAATTCGATTGGTGGACCATGCTGTATGACGCGTGCTCAGAACCATTGAAGCGTATCCTTCGACATCTTTGGATGTCCCGAACCGGCGAAACGTGTCACGGAGCTTCGACCTCCTTTAGAACTCGTAGACGAGTTTCAAAATATCCTGACGCTGGAGGGTCTGAAGAGCGGACGATCCTTGCCGGCTCACGACTGAGACCATCCCTTCCCATGATTTTCCCGGAGACGTGTATACTCATCGTGACACCCCTTCGAGCACTGATCACCAACTAGAATGCTGCCAATATATCTCCGCTCTTATCGATTGAATCATTCTCCCACGGGATCCTGCCGAGATATTCAACTTTATTCCTGGCATGGCTCTTTCAATCTCTCAAGATACTCACACACATTGCTCGATCAGCATGTTTTCTCCTTCGGTCGCATCACTCAATATAATCTGCATACCCTATCCTCGTCGAGCATCAGATAATGATCATTATTCAGAATGAGATCTTTACAAGATGAAAAAGCGGCGCAAGTTTAACTTAAGCGTTCCGGAGAGGTCACCCACTTCCTGACATTCCGATTGAGCTCCTCAATCAGGGCGACGAACAAGGCCATATTTACAATCAATATTCAGGTGAATCCCGAGAATGGAAATCTCGTTATTCACGATCACAAAGGAGTTGAGACACAATGGTCTCAGTTTCAGGAGATCGGTCTCTGTGATGGCGACCTGAGCCCATCACAATTGATAAATTAGATTAAATGAATTTGAAACACTTCTGTCTGTCGTGAGGAACTCGCGTTTTGAACAGGACCGAATCGGCCCGGAGCTGCGTATAGAGCAGCGGGTTGTATCCATAGAGTTGCGAGAATTTGTTTATACAATCATGACGCTCTAGAAAATGGGAGTCGTGCTCGGACAATGCCACTGGACACCCGGGACAGCGGAAGGTCCACTTGGAAGTAACCTTCGGAAGAAGAGAACGAGGTGTGAGGTTCGGGACCGAGCGATGGTATCTATTTCCAAGAACACGGCAGATACGACATGCGGGCCCTAAAAAAACATAATCGCAAAATACTGAGCGAGCTACTCACTTTCAGAGGCGTCTTCCGCGTCAAATGCGCCACGAGGAAGTTCAGAGCTATGTCCTCACAATTCATGAGGTCATCGACCGTTTGACGGATCTCGGGAGCCATACGATAGGTGTATTCGTACATGTAAAATTTGTGGAAGAAAGCCGCTCCCGTCAGAACCATTGAGAGCTCGCAACTGTGGTTCGAATTGTAGTTCCATTGGCTGCAATAGAGGGGGGATTGGTGTTTCGGGATTAAGCCGCGCCGGTAGCCATCAAAACATCTTCTCATTTTCTAGGGTTCGGCCTCCACGGAGGGCGGGGAGAAGAGATCTAAAATGGTTTCGCGTTCCATGTGTTGGGACATACCGGTGAACTGAGTCGTAGGCGTGGAATCGACCCGGAAACCCAACTACGCGGTCTCGGTTCTCCCTCCAGACCCGGAACGCAAAGATCAGCTCATCGTGACGGAGACGCGCATCGTCGTCCAGAGACAGGACAGCTTCTGTCTCAATGGCATCCCATGGTACGAACCGATTGTTCAAGGAGTTCACCGGAGCTTTGACGACCTGTGTATGGGAGAGAGGTCGAGATTACCCTATGGCGTCCCTTGGCCGCTATTATTCGCCGCATGAGTACAAGCATACACGGAAGAAGCTGTTCTCGAACGTCATCGGGCGCGGCTCTTACCTGAATCGGCACTCCGATCTCCGGCCAGGTCAGCGTTTCAGGGCCTGGCGAATCGGGTCCATTCCAAACGACGAGAACTTTGCTGAGATATGGCAAGCCTTTAAAATTCGAGATGCCTTCTATGAGAACTTGAGGCCGATCATAGGTGAGCACGACTGCGGTGAATTGCTCTCGGGGATAGTTGCCACCCAATGCCTCGGCGAACTCTTTTCCGGAACCTCCGGCACCGAACCTGCAATCATCATGATCGTAAATTGTGAGGTAGCTCGAGGAACGCACATTTGGCTCGACAGTAGAATAGTTACGGTAGAGCTCCGTACCCGATGGGTCTGAAGCCGAAACTGCTGCCTCTGAATTTGGCGTCGCTCGGCAGGACAGGATCGGTTGGTCGCCAGGCGGACATGCTATGTGGGTGGAAATGGACGTTGAAGAGATCTCTCCAGTAGTTCAATGTCAGGGAGAAATTCCTTTGGAAAGCCAGGGAAGGGTACGGGGTCTCCAGAGGTCCCAATGCTTCGTCGGTTTCTGAGGAAAGCTGAAAGCAGAAAAATGAGAGAGTTAGGCATCGAGCACATGGACAACTTCAAAAAGGAGAGAGTATCGAGGACGGTTGCGAGATTGTCCGTCGAGCCCTGAACCTCTTTCCTAACGTATGGAATGAATGCCCTCAAAATCTTACCTGCTGATTCATCGGCCCGAAATCGAGGTTGGGCACGATTTCTGTTTTTTGACTTCTTTCAGGGAAAGCTTGCACCTTCACCTTGTACCTCACAGCACTGATGAGCGTTTCAATGAATTGATCGGCTGTTTTGAAGTAAGTTTCCACGAGTCTCCGTCCTTGTCTCCTCAGCGCGAAGATGTCTTCATCGTTGTAAGTTCTCAGGATTAGCGGAATTTCGGGAACCCGAGCTTTCGCTACCATGATGACGGCTTTCCTCCACTGAAGCAGCGAGTCAAAAGGGAGCCGCACGGAATCTCCTTCAAGTCAAACAGAACTCAAGGTAGGCATGGTCTGATCATATTGTATGCGAATCTGGATACTGAACACTGATTCACTGACCTAGAATTACGGGTATGGCACCGTGCCAAATCGCCCTGATGAGTCGGCTACTGAGAATATCCGTGCTTACAAAGCAGTCCTCATCCGGAGCGATCATTAGAGCGAAAATAGACTCTGAAAGCGGCTCTGTTCGACTATCCTCGCAATCCACCCAAGCACCGCGGAGTTCTGGATGGAATAATGAAGTCATATGGAGGTAACGATCAATTTGCAGGATTTTTCGCACGAATTCTCGCTATCCCTCCACACGATCAAATCGCTCCCCCCTACCTTGGACTCTCCCGAGGCTTCGACTCGAGCAGAACTCTCGCGACTGTGTAGCATACTGGGCATTTTTAAGAATCTCTTCGTAGATGTATCTGGAGGTGAGTCTCATTCCGGCTGCCTCTTCGTTTTCGGATCGAACGTATGTCCCGGAGAATGTCAATGTATTCTGACGACGAACAGGGAGCATGTATGAGAGTGGATCGCTCTTCCATTGCAGTGGCTGCGGAAAGAATTGAGGTTAGAGAGATTCGATCCTTCCAACATAAGAGTACCCTTTCCAACTATTGTCACGGCCTCGCAGGACCCGGGGAACTCACCGGGAGCACGATGTCAAAATCGTCGCGAAACTGCTCAGCAGGGAAGATCTGCCTAGCGTAGATCGCTCTGCTCTCTACCGAAGGAATTCGGTGATCGCAATTCGATCTTGTACAGTTGTCCACAACAACGACAAGATGATTGGCTCCATCCCCGTTCCAGTATTTCAAGGCGGGCAGATTCGGAGCTTTGAGTTTTGCCGACACGAACACAACAAATATACAGGCCTCGTCGGCGTTAGGAGTAGAATGCCTATTCGAACGTATGGCACGGGAGAGCTCGCTGATTGTCATCCGCGGTACACCGACTAGTTGATCCTCTTCCAGGGAATAGAAGAAAGCCTGTAACGCGAAACGCCACTAAGCTCTGCAATGCTCCGTCGTCGCGATGGCGAGCGTGATTTCGAGTTCGGAATCGTCTAATTCGACACATTGATCGGACTTACGCGAAAATGCTTCCTCAATGAACACCTCGAATAATCGAAACATTCGTCGTAGGTGCAAGGTCTGAACTTTCCATGGTTCACATGTTGACTCCGCTCTTCTCCAAGATCTGGGAGCCCCAGCGGCTCGCTGAGCATTCCCTCCGGAGCTTCTTCAGCAATTCGACGGAGCCTAGAACGGAACGAGCCCTCTGACCGTCATCCTCGGCGGCGTAACTTCGTCATGCCGTCGGTCATCAGCATGCACCTGTATACCTCCCGTTCTCTATCGGGATCCGGAGAGAACTTGGACCCACCTCTTCTGCGTAGACATCATCTCGGTCAAGCGCTGGAGATCACTTCGCTTGCGCGTGATGTTTTCTTTCGCAGTCTCTCCCTCGAGCTGGAGATTCTCCATCTCTAATTTTATATTCGTTCTCTTTTTCTCTAGATCCATCTTCTCTCCGCGGACTGGAAAGTGTTTAAGACCTGGTCGCAATCCGTCCCTCGACAGCAAGCGCCCAAGATACGAATCGACCCTTGTGCGGCTGAAGATGAAGAAATCAGACGCACCTGACAGGCGTATCCTCTCGTTTTCCGACAGAGTGGTCAACTCCTGAGGTTTCGCCGGCGGGAAAGTTTTCCTATCCAGATATGACATGACGAGGAGCGGGAGGAGAACCCCACATATCGTCAGCACGCCTACCGCGGCCGCGACGCGGTAGCAGCGCGTGGTATGCGTATACAGTCTCATATTCTATAATTGGGTGTCCGTTTCTCTCACAGTGTTCCCGCAAAGTCTTGGGGGATCATCTCCCGATTGTGGTTGTCCCATTAATTCAAGCAAATACTGACCGATCGGAGTCTCAGGCTTCTCTTCGGGAGCTCGGTGCACCGTCTGTCTCTGCCAGGATTGAGGAATTCAAATCCTGGAGCCTCACCGCCGACTCATCGATTACCATCTTTGAATTAGTCACGCTTCCAGAACATACAGAACTTTTCTCGGAGTTGTCACTTCCAGCGCGGTTACCGGAGGGAGATCTACATCTCGACATGTGCGATCATCTCCTTCCAGAGGAGAGCATACTCTCTCGTGATAGTGATTAAAGCAACCAGCTTCGAATAGGAATGTTTTTCCCGTCGATAGGGCTCATGCAGCTGATCGAGATACGATTTCTCCACACTATTCCGAAGATTGTGCGCTAGAAAAAACAATCACAAGCATTGCCCTCTCCCGAGTTCGGAGAGAGACCCTCAGCTCTTGCTTCTCTCGGAGGAGAAGCTTCACTGATCAACATCAAAAGGGGTTTGCTCTACTCGCGAATCGGGTTCGCGGCCCCGATCGCCGATTGGCTCTCATTCCCATATGATCGAATCAGCCTGGCCCCAAAGGCCAAACGACAGAATTGGGAAGCGTAATTTCCTCGAGTGCGAAAATTCCTCCTTCGTGGTACGTCCAGAAGCATGATTGGCTTGGATCTTGGATCTTGGATCTCGTCGATCGGAATAAACTGACATCGTCCGAGTTCGGGAATTCTCGAAAGGGGAGTATTATTCTGAGCAGTTTCAATGATCGAACTGGCAGTTTAGTCTACTTAATTGGCGGTTTCCCCGTTGGGCAGTCTGATTTTACAAATTGGCAGTAATTGAAACCGGCAGTTTTTCTGGCGAACGGGCGGTTTCCGATGATTCATGCGGTCGCTTTTCAAGGATATTCACAAAGATCTGGCCGATCAAACGGAGTCTTCTCGATCGCCCGATTCTCGAATGCTCGATTGTCGATCGTCTTTCTAGTGAGAGGTTATGTTGAGTGAATACTAACTAAATAGGACAAAAACTGCCAACACTGTAATTTTAACTTTAACTAAGCCTTCTCGAAAATTCGGAACTCGAAAATTATGGAGTTGAATTCCTCTTTGCGGAATGTGCATCAGTGATACCGATTCACCGACTCGATGTCTATGATCCCGCGAGGTGTCATGCCAGCCCCGTCGGCTGTCATCTGCGAATCGGTACTCAAGCGAATTTCAATTCTCATTGAGTCCACGATTTCTACGTGCTACTTTTGCGGAAAGTCGATCGCACTGCTATGCGTTGACAAGGGGACTTGGACGGGAATCTCGCCCCTAAGAGCTGGAAGAGGAAGACGACGATCCGGTCAGGTAGTTGACGTTGTGACAAGGGTCATCTGAGAACTCGTATTGATGCCGGTTGCGCGAATCAGGCGCGCTCTATCCCGACAGGACTTGAACCATGCGAAATCGTGCAGAGTTCGACCCATTGAAATGTCCGAACAAGCATTTACTGTTTCGTCGGGTACGCAGAGTCTAAAATCGAAGGCTCCTCCGCCGCATGTCCGCTAGGTCCGTCGCCGATGGGCTTTTTAAAAATTTGTCCACGAGACTCCAAGCTTAACTCTCCAGGCTAGCTGGCTGGATATGCTTATTATTTGCAGAAGCGAAGTAATCACTTTATCGCTATGCTCTCGCGGTGGGGTGCGTCAGCGAATAGGAAAGAGTTTGTCCAAAACACCCGCCGTGGATCAACTATATAATGTATTTCGGCGTCATGAACTCTTGCTGCGAATCGCGAACCTCTTGCCATCGTTTTTCAGGAACAACACGCCACAATCAGAGTTGACGGAAACGATTGAATAGTCAAATCGGATTCCTCTAAATGGAGGCGTGGGCCACATAACGGAGCCGATAGAGCCGTCTCGAAACATGACGGAACTCCGCAGAGCTTTGAATCCCACCTCGTCTGAACAATGCTCGAATTCAGGAATCGTGTTCCGGTTCTTTCGATGGCAGCTTTATTACTCCTCGCAACTACGTCCGAGTACCTGTCGTATTTTAGATTTTACATGGATTGGAGTAACTCTTGAGTAGACTCATCTCGGCAGGCGATAACTATCGGAGAGTACCATCCGACGACAGCGGGGTCGGATCCCCGCGATGCGCAAGACATAATCACAACACTATCGATTTGTTCGCTTCAACACACCCCGCTGGCAAGCTCATCAACAGCTTCTGTGAACCGATCCGTACCATGGAAACTCTACATGTCTTTATTCTCGTTCCAACCATCGACTCCGAGCCACCATTTTCGATCCATGTCCTTGTTTCGAAGTCGACGAACGAATATCGTACAAATATATAATAAGTTAATGATGGATATATCCTCGATCTGACGACTACACTCCACTGTATCTGTTGTGACTTCGAGCTCCATTTCGATCTCAATCGGGACCTCGATCATAGGCTGTACATAATGATGCGATTCTGATCCGAGGACTCCGTGTAAAACGGTCTGAACAACTCCGAAAGAAACCCGACTACCCCGTAACTTCACGTAAGCATGCAGGAGTACATTTTTTTTTAATCCTTTGGAACCCCGACTCACCGTCTGACTGAACCAACCGAGTTGAGAACTCGATCGAAGTCTAAGACTTCATAATTTACATCGAACTGAGGGAGTATGGTCTAATCTGAGGTTGAGAGTTCTCCATGCATTCCCTTCGAACTTCTGAAGGGATGGAATGGTTCCTGCAAGCACAAAATTCTCGTCCTCCCGCGGTTCGAGATCAGCTAGCAATGATCTCCACATTTCGTCCAACGACCCAGAACAAGATAGCCTGTCATATGTTGAGCGTCACCGACGAGAAAACGACTTCATTCGTAGCCAGGAGGCATGAGAAGCGAGTCGTCAGCCGCGTCGTCGGTCGCGTTGTAAGTAATGTACATTGTAACTCGTTGCTGCTGCTGCTGGGATGGCTGTTGTTGTTGCTGCTGCTGCTGTTGTTGTTGTTGCGTATGATGGTTGTGAGACGGTTGTTGCAGTTGATGGCCACCTTGCATGTATTGCATCTGGTTCGCGATTTGCTGTTCCACGGCGAGTTGCCTCTCGTACGCGTAACGCTGCTGCGCCTGGTGTTCGGAGAAATAGAGAGCTGAGCGAAGGTTTCGGAGGCCGAAAATCAGATGGAATTCGGACGACGCGATGTATTCGCTGGGGATCGAACGCAAAACGGAAAGTTTGGTCTACTACGGACATACCTCTTCCAGCGCGACAGCGTTGGCTAAAGATCATTCAGGCCCTTCTTTGAGAGGAAGAGTCGGCGGGACGTTCGACGAATGATCCCAAGACTTCAAGTCGCGTATTTGTCTGATCACATACGCCAGCTCTTCATTGAACTGTTCGCTACCAGGCTCATTTTCGTTTGTCACGCGGAATTTCGAAAGAAAATCAACCATTTTCTCTCGATTGCGGACCAGGATGTCGAGAATCGGTTTCGGTTTGTGGGGGTTCGCCACAAATACCTGTGGAAAGACACGGATCCGGCGAGGGATATTATGAGAGGGTGAAGATCGTTCCTCCTCGACTTGCAGCGTTCGTGGAGTCGAGGTGGTCGATCCGGAATGAGCCAAGTAGCTGACCCGAGCAGAATCCGAGTCAACAACTTCTACCACTCAGGGGTCCATCACTCGAAGCCTACGCATTGCGCTTACCTTGAATACGTGGAAGGTTTCGATGCGTATATTCCGCGACTTGTCTTTGAGTAAATTCATCATGAGCTTGAGATTCTCCGAGTTCGAGATATATCTCGACATGACGTTGTAGTTTGATCGATCGAGGAGGAGCTCTCCGAGGAGTTTCAGCGACTGTCGTCTTGTCACATAATTTTCGCTCGTCAAAAGCGTCTGATAATGCGTGAAAACCTGGAATCGGAGAGCACACCGACTTAGAATTCTGGAATCGCCGCGGCCGATCGGTGAAGGGTTATTCGACCGAGCCCGGGATTACTCCCTCCAGGGCCCGGAGCGGGAATGAGGAATCGTACCCGGTCGTAGTTGAGTTCGAGAAACTCAGATACGAGTCTCTTATGACGCGTCAGCAGGTCTCTGAGCGTATTGAAGGCATCGGCCGCGAGATCGAAGAGCGGAGACTCGACATACTTGAAGAGATTGTAGAATTCGTCCGAACACAGGATGAGCTGCGAGAATAGGTATCGAGGCTTAGCAAATCGACCGTGATCTCCCAACGGCTTCGTGAACATTTAAAAAAAGGATCACCTTCGCGAGATCTTCATGTTTGGCACACTCGCGGAGCATTCCTCCGCAGTTGAGAGCAATATCGGTATTCTCGTAGCCGCTCAGCAGCAGGAACAGGATTTGCGGCTTCAGATAGAGGTATTCAACAGTTGGGAAGCGTGGACCGATTTGGCGGCGCAACATATTGTTGAAAATGTGACCGACGTCCTTCCGGCCCTCAAAGTCGATTTTGGAGAGGTTCTGAATCAAGAGCAGCAGGAGGTGCGAGCTGTACACTTCTTGGCCAATCTGGGACAACTGTGGAGGAGCGAATCGATAGAGAAACATCGAATAGAGTCGGCTAATCTGTCGCTCTGAAGGACTATGTTCCAGGAGCATCGTTTCAGAGTCCACAGCTAACTCACCTGCATCTCGGCTTGGGTGTCGTTCCGATGATTCCCGTACAGAATGTTTTTCATCACGCTGAGACTCTTTGAAACGTCCTCTTGCACCTGCGGACCCGCCCAAAAAGTTCAATTCCTCGCGAACAAACTCAAAATGGAGAACAGCACCGGCCGGCCCGACCGTTGACATTCGATCCGATTGACTCACCTTTAGGGCTCGGGAGAGCATCATGGGTAGTTGCTCCTGGAATTCGGAGGATCGCGATTGTAAGAAAGCCTGATTTCTATGCGATGTGCCCTCATGACCGCCAGAATGGGTCATTGACAGGGCAGCCCAATATCCCGCGCGGAATTCGCGCCTATTACTCGCGACCGCTCCGAGAGTTCCCCAGAGTGAAAGGAGAGCAAAGGAGTCGGACAGCTCAGCCCAGTTTTTCCAGCTCGCATCGATTCGACTTACCTTGTCCGACTTTTTGTCGAGCTTTTCCAGCATCAGAAGAGCCTCCTTGAGGCTTTTCACGACCTCTGCAGGATTCCTGCTGTTTTTGCCGAAGAGCGGCATCTTGTCGCGATTGATCTCGCGATAGGCGAGGATCCGACACGATCTTTCAGATCGATTCGCTCGCGGTTAAACTGTCGCTCATTGGATTGATTGTGGGAGAGTCCTCATAAATCGGCACGGCCACATTCTACGTCGTTGACGTCGCGGATCTCACTACTTCCGGAATTCAGCTCGTTTGGTTGTACGCTCGAAGAACGTCTTCTCGGTGTTAGTTCAGTGGAGTAAACTCCACAGAAACAGAGCAGCGGATTAACTTTGGTAAGAATGGAATCCGTGCAGTTGGAGAGGATGATGTCGCTGATCTCTGCCTGGACCCCCGATCCCCCCGACCCCCTCCCCCTCGAGACTTCACACAAGGCCTAAGCCGCGGCAAGTCTGTAATTTGGAATGATCATCCTGATCCGGATGGCTGCATCGTCTCGCGTTCCCTCACGCATCGACGGCTTAGCGGTTCTGGCAGGCGATTCCGACCTGTCCCCAGGCACTGGGGACCCGATTTCGGATGACGCAGATTCGATGGCGCTTTGTCGTAGCAGATTCCGCGCTTTACGCGAATGAATTGGTCTGTCCAAAACTCCCTTCGTTGACTTCACAGCGAAGTTGAATGAGGTAAACGATTAAGAGCGCGGGTGTCTAGAACTCTCCGAGACGCAAAGGTGGGGGGCCGAAATATCTGGAGAGAACGATTGGTACCCATATCATGGAATCCGGAAAAAGAACTGACGCGACGGCGAGTACAACAGAAAAAAAGTCCAATTTCCGCGAGTTTCCTTTCCCCTCTCATTTGCCTTTTTATTCGAGATAAATGCTCTCGGAGTCCGGGCTCTGCTAAATGGATCTAGTCGTCGTGAAGCGTCGGACAGAGGATCGAATCTGCGCCGTAACACTCTCCTCCCAAAAATCTCAAGGAGAGACTTCATTCAAAAGTCAGCGATAGGAACACAGGAAGGAAGACCAATGCGTGCAGGGCGCCGAAAACGATTACTAAACAGATGGTCTTGAAAAACGTCAAAAAAATATAGGACGGGGTGAAAGCTAGAATCAGGATACCGAGGAACGTCGAGAGAGCACCTTGAAGCACAGGGACGGCGAGCCCACCCAGTGTCTCTGAGAGGCGAGCATCAGCCGTCGTTGCTTTTCCGCTCAAGAATGCGTAAGCGATATGAGCTGAATAATCGACTGAGAATCCGATGCACATGATGAGGTTGATCATCGATATCGAATCGAGGTTGACGCCCCAGAGCGTCATGTATCCAATGACGCCGGCTTCGATCGAAATGATACTGAGGGCAATCCAGATCACAGCCCATGTCGATGGTATCAATATCAGAGCGACAACGACCATGACCACGGTGGCAACCCCCACAGATTGCATAGTCGTGGACCGGACGAGCAGGAATTGATCAAAGAAAACGAACATCGGGTTGAAGACAGTGATGTTGAACGCAGGATGCCGATCCGCAATGTTCCTCAAGGCCACCATCATTGCTTTCTCGTCATTACTCGTGTGCACATTCCTCGCTTGAATCATACACCTGGGGCCGAGAGCGAAACAATTTTAAGGAAGCCGCGCGAGGAGCGATCCGTGAATTCCCTACATGCATAATTATTCATCACTCTCAGCGACTCGACGTTTTCCCTTACGAACCTCGAGGAGACAATGCTCCTGTTCGCCCATCGCACATCTTTCCTTAGATTGGACATGTCCCGTGTCCTGCAACGGTACCGAACTCGTCAGCGACGTGTGCGGAAAAGTTCTTGATTGGCTTTCAACGGCTCATGAAATGTTCATATGAAAGTATACTCTCTCGGGATCACGATTTACTCACGCTAAATACTCAGTTATCTTGCCCAATTTCAGTCGGCTCACCAGTCCTCGGAAGGAACTCTTGATTCGGGTTGCATTGACGCCGTCTCTGAACCAACACTCAGAGAGCTCCCGATTGTTCACGAAGGGCGAAGCTTCAAATTCATTCACAATGGCGACCAGTTCCGCAACTTCGACAGTCGTGTACTCGAGAGGTCGATTGAAAACCACCTGAAGACGGGTCGGACGAGCTCAGTGGAGATCGCTAAATAGGTCGAGCTCGACGTCATTTCTGTCAGGAATTTTGGGGGAGCATGAGGTTAATCGAACCAAACAATACCTGAACCCGATAGGGGAAACTTTTGAAATATCTGTCATCTGCTTGAAAGAAGTCCTTTGCGTAGGAAACGTCCAGAGTCAGCTTCGCTCGATCGAGGCCTTCCCTGAGCTGGGTACACCCGTATATCGCCCCGGCCAGATAGACCGCGAACAAAACGAGGATCATCATTTTTACCGGTGGCAGAGCCAGAGCTTTCGCATACACGTCCCGGAAGAAGTTCGTCTCCTGCTCTTCCACGCTTGATCCTCCAGACTCATTCGCGATCAGCACCTATCAGCGGCGGGGGTACGTATCGTTTACGAAGTATTCAAGGATGGGGAAGTGCTCGATTCGATCAGAACACGATACGATTTATATGAATGAATATGCTCTCTCAGAGTTCGGGCAGAGACCTGGGAGTTCGGGCTTGGGGCGATTTTGTGGAAGAGGAGACCGTGCAGTCCCTGAGCTTCGAAACGTCCGCAGATCGCAATGAAACCGCCCAGGAATACGATTTGGAACACAAATGTGTAAGCGGCACAAATGGCCGTATACACACAGAATATGAAAACCGATGGAAACGGGCTGTAAGCACCGATGATGAATGAAATCACGTTCGTTAGCGAAGTGATTGTGATGGCCACCCCTGCATCGGACAGCATTTCAGCCATTCGTTCCGGCACCGGATTACTCGCTTCGGTATGTCGCCAAGCTGCAAGCATCACGAACGTGTCGTCCAGTCCAATACCTTCGTCGAGAACAGAAGCTCAGATAAGATGGAGATTGTCCCGTCGACCCCCATGCTCAATCGCACATCGATTTTGTTCGAAATGAGTACGGGGCGCCTTGGAGGTCGCGAAAAATTCGATCCCCGGTGCAATTCCTTATTTCCGTCAAGTTACAGTACTCACCCAACATGAGAAAGGGCGTAGCAAGATTTATGCCGATAAATGGGATGCCCAGCAGAGCCAACGTACCGGTTGCGGCCATCACGCTCAAGAGAACACTTATGCACGAAATTAAACCTATCCACGGCTTCGTCTTAGCCCACGAATCCATCATACAGCAACAAAGCATTGTGAAAACCTGCGGCACAACTGAAATCGGGAAAGGAACCACACTACCCATGTCTTCCGCAGATAATCACATTCGGAAATCGTACTGCAGAGCGGAAGTATGGTACATCCCGGGCTCATGATGCGTGAAATTCCTTGAGGTTCTGCGAAACCTACCACCATAATAACAAGCGTAATTGTGAGGAGAGGAGCGATCGAGAGAGTGTTCCTCTCGAGTTCGGACGCCAGGCTGCGAGAAGTGAAGAAATACAAGTTCACAGTCGACAAACGCATGTCTGACAGGAGTTCAACGAAGGCGTTTTCCCACTGCTGTGCCCTGGAATCCAGAGCAACCTGTTTGCTTGAGGAAACTTCTTGCCAGCCAGACTTCGGACATCGGTGTCGAAACTCACCGGTATTTGCTTTGGAGCGAATCCGCTTCGAGGTAGTAATGAAGAGACAAAGCCTTCGCAGAGACTAGCGTTTTCCCGTCCACGCTCAACTGAACCCCCCCGAAGACAACCCCAGTCGGCAAATACTCGAAAGGAAAAACGATTTCACAATTAGCTTTCGAGGAACTACATTTTCGGGTGGAGAAGAGATAATTCCCAGACAAGATCCGCTTACAACATCACCGAGTATTTCTAAGGGATACGCCAGTCTTCTTTTTCCTGTGGCCAACGAAGGCAGGATGCCCGCCAGAGGTCTGAGGAACTCGTTCGAGAAGCATTTCCCGTTGTCTTTTGCGCACAATGAATGATAGGAATAGTTTTTCTCGTTGAATGTCGTCATCATAGAGCGGATTAATCTGGAAGGCGTACGGTATAGCGACAGTGCTCAGATGCAAGCACTCCATGAAGGAGGCTCCGCTTTCCCCACAGCTCCTCGAGGAATGAGATTATCGAGAACCCACTGATCGAGCTGTAATGTGTCCTTCCATGTGTCTTCGGTGAGAACAGAATTATTCTTAGCCTCGATGATCACGCGGGTGAAAGCTTCATGTTTCGTTGCTCTAAGGGGAGAAAACGTGATAGGAAACTCCTCCAGTCCAGACTCCGGTACAGATAAGATCCGCCCATCGACCGCCAATTGCGTGAAGCCCCGTTTCGGCGTTGCTCCTCACTGTGTCAATTCTTGCGGAAGGAAAAATGATTCTGACCTTCCAACGTCGAAGTTATTCGATGCGTTTGTTGGGAAAAGCGTAGCCACGGTTTGACGTTCCAAATGGGAGCGAGAATGTGTCGGTGCGAAGAGATACTCGGGGTCGTCAAGGTATTCCAGCTCATAAAACGCAAAGCTCGAAAGGATACAGATGCTGATCAGAGATAATAAGATTCCGGTCGCTGCGAGATAAAATCGGGAATCTCTGGAATACTTTGTTTCGGGCTCGATCAGAACTTATCAAACCATTCCCTGCAGAGCCTACTAACCTGGGTTCTCGGCGATCGAGTAGCCAAAACGGTAGAACAGCTTGGAGAGATAGATCTCGATTGAGTTCCGATTCAAGTGCATTTTCAGAGGGGAACTCCCAGATTTCAGGGAGATGGAGATCAGGCGCTCGCCCGGTGTTCACAAAAGTGTTTACGATCGACAGCTGGCGAGGAACTGTGAACGTGAAGCAATATCTCCTCAACGTGTGCTTATCATGTGCTTCTCAGTGTCCGCGATCTCTCATAGGAGTCATAGAAGGGATCAAGCGAAGGGACAATGGTCGGTCGACCGATGAATTCACTCCTTGCACCGCGACATATACTTCATTCGCGGTGTTGGAGTTTGTATTATTCTCTCATTAACGTCGTGGATAGAGTATGGTCCATTTCATCCCTCACAGCGATTCCCGAGTGTGCCGCAGGAATGCAGGACGTTCGGTAATCCACTTCCTGTGAAAATCGTGACTTCATGGCGACCGACAGCTCGCCGTCACAATCATGAGGGGGAAGTCCCAGGCCCGATTGAGCAGAGAGCGGTATTCAGACACCCATCCCGGACATATACGTATGCCGAGCCCTGAGCTGCCGGGTTCGTCATCATTCGCTGATGAACTCTTGAATCTATTCGCCTTGCACTCAACATACCACATGCTCCGGAAAAACAAGTTCTAGGACAAGGGATTAGCCATTATGGTGTTTCCAAAAGTGATTCTACCCGCGTTTGCTATCGCAAGGCGGATGCGCAGTGTCGCGAGGAAGATGCGATGTCATCTATTCTGACGCCGAAAGCTTCATGAAAGATACGGAGCGGAGCCTTCGCGGCTTACCATCAGAACGATAGGCTGCCGAAGTGAGCTGTCTCCGATTAATAGGCCACAGAGACGCGCGAGCGCCTCTCGAAACACATGGAGTCTTGGTAAGCTGCCTCTCGACGTGGTTCCCCTCTCTCATAGTTCGTCAGCGTAAAGCGGTGGATCGAGAGAAGCTCCGAAGGGAATTTATTCTAAGTATTTGTGTGTTTCATTCGGAGTGGCTTGGAGTGCGTGAGCGCCTGACAGCTAACATAAGACATGGCCGCGAATGACACTCGCTTTTTCACGCCGCTTTTCGTAGTATCGCAGGTGAGTTCGAATCGACTTGAAGGATACTGCCGATTCTGGATCCTAGCTCTGTTGCTCTATCCACCGACATCCGACGAGTAGGTAGCTGGATCGGTCGACATCGTCTTGAACATCATTCGAAGTGTCCCTCTCATTCAATATCCTCGACGCCGAATATTCAAAACGAGTCGGAGCTCGTGGACGTCTGATGGGATTCACCCTCCAAATGCGACTCCATGCGAGCAGCGCGCGGCGTAGTCGGTGAGGGGGGAAAGATATTTGACGTCTGTCGGTCGCTAGAGCACGTATTTCACTAGATCTTGACATTCATGTTTCATCGGATAAGTATGTAGAAACCGACAGGGGATTGTATTTATCAGCTGAGCCTGCGCTCGTTTTCGTCCTTGCTCCGGATAGATTGGGTCGAGTGGCGGGATTACCAGGTGTATGCATATGAAACCGCAAAATTTTTTCGAGGGGCGCTGCCGTCGCTGTGGTTTGAATTTTCTCGCGCGCTTGGTGGCGTTGTTTACTTCAAAGAGTCAGCTGCTGAAGCCCGGTGTTACATTCAGAACCTCGTCGTCGAAAAATTTTCTGTGATTTTCCGAAAATGACCGATTACGTGCCAGAAAAGACCGTCCAGCGGGGATCGCTACTCACGTACTTCCATTTGAAGAAATCGGCTACGGAAGCGCACCAGCTCCTCGTGGAGGCCTACGGCAACCACGCTCTAGGTCAGCGCACCTGTTACGAGTGGTATGAAAAGTTCAAAGCCGGAAATTTCGACCTCCACAACGAGCCACGCGGGAGACCCCCGAGAAATTTCGAGAACGACGAGTTGGAAAAACTCTTGGACGATGACAACACTCTGTCCCAAGTGGAGCTTGCCCGGCGACTCGGCGTGGCTCAGACTACCGTTTCAAGACGCTTGCGCGCGCTTGGAAAGATTCGGAAGCTCGGGCGTTGGGTTCCACATGAGCTGAACGAAACACAGAAAAACAAGCGATTGACCGTGTGCCGGAAACTGCTCCAAAGGTTCGAAAAAAAAGTTTTACTTCACCGGATTGTCAAGAGTGATTAAAAGTGGCTCCTTTACGACAATTCTAAGCGGAACGCGTCCTGGGTTAACCCCGGGGAGCCAGCGGGTGTGACAACAAGACCGAACCGGTTCGGGAAAAAAGTTCTTCTGTGTGTTTGGTGGGATCAGCTAGGAGTGATCTACCATGAGCTGCTCAAACCGGGTGAAACGGTTACTGCGGATCGTTACAAAGGGCAACTCACCAATTTGGCGCGAGCTCTGAGCCTCAAGCGGCCAGAAACGGAGTCGCGGCATGAAAAGGTCATTCTGCTCCACGACAACGCGCCGGCACACACCGCAAGTGGCACTCGGGACATGCTCGCAACGTTCAAATGGGAAATTTTACCCCACCCGCCATATTCCCCGGATCTCGCACCCTCCGACTATCATTTGTTCGCGTCGCTCGGACACGCAGTTTCCAACCAGAATTTCAAGACATTCGCAGAGGCCGAAAAATGGGTGGTAGACTGGTTTAACTCCAAAGACGAAGCCTTCTACCGAAAAGGGATCCGCAAGCTGCCCGAAAGATGGGCCGAGTGTAAAGCTCACAACGGGTCATACTTCGAATAATATCCGACTCGAAGCGTTTTGAAAAAGATAAAAATTATTTTCGAAAAAATTTTGCGGTTTCATATGCATACACCTGGTAAGGTCCTACACAGAGCGGGTTTCCCACTTTAAAATATATTTTGGCAGAAAGAAATTTCTATCGTGACCGCCAGTAAAGAAGTCGGGGACAAACACGCGAGAACCTCCGAGCGCGGGTCCAATATCAGGAATCCGTCTCGGGATCCAACGAGAGCATGGCAGCTTCATGAGAAACGCTGACTAGCGATTCCGCGAGGATTCCTGAGTAATCATCGGTCGCTCAAAACGGCGATCCTGTTGCGATCTGCGACGGAATCGATGAGGACTTTCGATTCATCTCCAATATCCGCTCTCGGCCTCATTATTTTTGCGACGGATCTAGCGAAGATTTCGTATCGAGGCAACAATCATACATCCCGCGGGGACGAAAGGAAATGTATTCGATTTCAGCTCTTCGGGGTGGCAGTCATCGTCCTGGTGAGGGTATGGGGCGAAACCCTGGGCGGATTCCCGAAGCATTGGGATGCTTCGCGTGTTTTCAATTGGCATCCTCTACTGATGATCTTGAGTCTGATCATCATTCAAGGAGATTCAATCCTGATATATAGGTGAGCGATTCACGAGGTCCTTCGTGGTTCTGATCGTCCGCCCGAAAAACTCGAAACGCGCTTCGTCTGAATGAGCGGAAAATCTTCCATGTCCTCAGGGCTTTGCGCTTCGACATGAAACCTCGATTGAAAATCATCCACGCGGTTCTACATTGCATAGCTCTCGTTGTCGCTATAATCGGATTGAAAGCAGCATTCGACTCACACAACTACAAGGAGCCGCCGATCCCGAACATGTACAGGTGAGTGTCGATCCGGACTCGGCATTCGGCACACCGAGCGTATCTTCTCCAGGCGAGGCTTGGCCACTGTGAAACTTTGGCTTTCTTGCAGCCTACATTCTTGGATCGGTCTGACCGCCGCGGTTCTCTTCGGCATCCAGTTCCTCGTCGGCTTCGCCAGCTTCTCTTTGCCGTACGCCAAACCTTCTCTTCGGAAAATGTGAGGATTCCGCCCGACACTGGGTTATCTCGAAAAGAACCATCCTGACAGCTGAGGGCTCCTATTAAATACTTTATTCATCTAACGCAGGCTCATGCCGCTACATGTTTTCGGGGGGACCGCGATATTCATCCTGTCTATCCTTGCGGTTCTGACGGGAATCGTCGAAAAGAACGTATTCATGGGAAAATACAGTGAGCTTCCCAAGCCCGCAGTCATAGGGAACGTTCTCGGTAAGAAAATCCAAGGCGAGAGTAAACCGGGAAAGCAGCAGATCATCCTGGACGATCATGCCTAGTCATCGAATGCTAGAGATTTCATTGCATCATTCGTGTTCACCGTTGCAGGCTTATTCGTCACTCTCTTCGGTGTTTCGGTGTTCTATTTACTGTCGAACCCAAGCTATAAGCGAGTGGCGCTGCAAGGAGACTGATGATGTCACTCTCCTGGATGATGTCCAAGGAACTCAACAGCCCTCGAGCCGAGCTGCCGCACGCCGGAACCGAGTGGATCACGAGCTTCACTCTCAAAGATCGATTGGAGGCAATAAAGTTCGTCGGAAGGTTCCCATGAAGGGACAGAGCTGTTGTCTGGATAGAGCTATCAGAGCTGCACTGACGGCGAATCGGGCTGGGATATGAGCTCGTGAACTTCTCCGCGAACCCACTGCGGCTGGAGACATCTCTCTCCGGGGCTTGCGACCGCGAGCTTCAATTTCTCCCAGGATTCGAAGCTCTCAACTCTCATCAACAGTCTCTGTCGAATATGACCGATGAATTTCCCTCAAGTCCAAACAGATGATGCTCAGGGTTCCGCTTTGTGCAGGATGACGCCGGTTGTTTCGGGACGCGGATTGAGCGATACGCTCCCATCGGTCAAACACACGGACTCCCGTCACGAGACGCTGACTTCATGGCCGCTGATCCTGGGATTGTTCCGGCAGGAACGAATCTCCTCATTGAACGCGGGGGTTCAGAGACTACTTAGGCAGTGTGGAGGTCTGAACTCCGGACCGAAGAGCACTGTCGGGCGCCTCGCTCTCTCCCACCCCTGTTTTTCATTACCATCAGAACATCGGATTGGCAGACTGAATGCTGGGAATGCTCGATTCGATGGGAGATTTCTGGAGCTCGCATTGTCCGGTAACGAAGGAGTCAGCAGTACCGCCTCATTTCCGCCAGATGCGCTGCGGGCTGGGTTGATGTTGGGCTGGGTGTTGTCGGGCTCGGTTCACAGTGCGCGCCAGAAATGTGCGTAGAAACCTAGGCTTCTATGAGAAAACTTCTCTCTTGGCTCCAAACAATAGAACGCGATTTCAAAACTTGGAGGGCCCCCCTGGAATTCCTTTGAGACAGTTGTGTGCGAGTTCCAGGAGGTGGAAAATGGTTGAGGTCAGTGGAGACTCCTCGGTGCACATGGAACCTGCATGTGGCCTTTTTTGTTTTGAAGTAGACGGAACGATCGAAGCAATCGAGCTCTCAAGAGACAGCTGCTCGTTCTCACCCTATTCGAATACACTATTCGAAAACCGGAGTACTGGAGTAGTGTCGCTCAACCTCGCGTTGACAGCACCTTCAGGAAATGGGAATGGGTTCACTGTGGGAAGGAGATACGGCGTCAGACCCTTCCAAAATTTTCCCCAGCTGATTAAAGTGGCGACTATTGGCCTCTTATCCTGGCGGCCCATGGTCGTCGCAGCGGAGAAGTTTATCGACTCCCCTTCTTTCTCGGACAACTATTCTTGAGGAGTTTTCCTTTCTAGGCTCCCCCGAAAGGCTCCGGTGTTGGAACGCTACATTCGACGAATCCGTGAGTCGACAGCATAATGCTCAACATGAATGTCCTGCTACCCTCAGAAATCGCTCGTTTGGTCTTGGGCTATTTGACATCGATCAAATGTACGGCTGCTCGCGAGAAGTTCCTCGAAGAGTGCCCTCATCTCCGAGAATATGTGTTCTATCTTGGGAACGGTCACGAATACCCAACGAACATATCCGGCTATGACCTCATCCACTACCTTAACATCGGTTTTCAATACACCCAATTTATAAGTAAGTTCGGCCGTGAGCACATCCTCCGAGCTTCGTCCTGCGTTTCGAGATTCCTAATATTCTCCGATCTCTCTCGACCCAGCTTGTGGAGAATCGATCAAGTTCCCCTTGCCGACGGCGGCGAGTTACTACGGCTTTCAAAATAGAGGATTCGCTCCTGGCGTCACGGGTCAAGAAAGTCCGGCGCACACGGGACCAGGTCCATCAGGTGATTATATTTCTTTCTTTCTTCGTCTTCCCTCTTCTCTTCTCGGCATTGTTTTCCCGAGTAGCCCCTCAAGTCCGTATCAAGAGATCTGAGCTCCAATAACGTTCCTCTTCCGGTTTAGGCACACCTCTGACTTCGCCGCGCACAAATCCCCCCCCGTATCGGACCCCTCGCAATCCATGGACGAACGCTTCACCCGCCATGGATCGTCGATCGCCAGCTGAGAGCATCATCGATGTGACGACAGTCACCGAGCCGCCATCGTCAGAACCTCAGATCCCTCCTCCGAAAAGGTTGAGTGAAGCGGCTATCCAGACCGAAGACAGCCAAGACAGCGTCACGTCGCAGCTCGCCGCGCGGCGCGGGGCTACGCCGCAGCCCACTTTCCAACGTGCGACACAAGAATTTCAGCCGCAGCCCCAGCAGGTCCCCATAATACTCCAACAGTCTCCGCATCTTCAACTCATCCAGCATGACGCCCCACAAGCTGGTCCAGAGAAATCGCAGCAGCTTATGCTGCAGCCGCATCAAATGCAGCGAGCTCAGTGCATTCAACCAGTTCATCCAGCGCAGGAAATGTTGCAAGGGCTCGCGCAGCCAGAGCAGAGCCCGGAACCCAAAAATACAGCGGACCAGCTGCAGCTGAACTCGATCCAGGAGCGCGGTCAAATATCCACGCTGGTATCGAACAACCTCCAGATAGTCCCCGCTCATCAGTTCATCCCTCCCAATCGTGAGCGATTTCTGGACAGTTTCTCTCTCTCTCCGATGAATTTATATCTAGTCTCGCGGAGCGAATCCTGAGCTAATTTGGCTTTCCAGCTCCGACATCGACCCCCATAACCTCCGGTAGGACGCAGGACGCTCTCCGGAAAGACGGGCCGATGGAAATATCGCTTGGATTTGGTCAGTGCTTTTCGCCAAAACGGAAACCTACGGCTCCGAAACGGAGGTCTCTCGGAACACCGTTGGACATGTTCGCTTCACCTCCATCCCTCGACTCTAGCTCGACCAGAAAGACAATAGACGAGCTAGTACAGACCCAGCTAGCAGAGAAAATTGCGGAGAGCATAAACGAAGCCACGACGGTCCTGAGACCTCCTCCGCCAGCTGAAGATACTTGCCAGGCGGCTCTTACATGCGGCGCCAATCTTCCCGACAGTCTACTGTCGGATGTGATCTGTGAGTTGCTGCTTCAGATTTCACTCGATCTTCATGTGGTTCCGGCTCCCCACAGTTTCTGCGAGGGCCATTACTGTTACGTAGGAAGTAGTGCGAAAATCAGGGACCTGCTTCTATTTTTCAGCGAAAACGCTGTCGGATCCCATCATGGAAGAATTGGCCCAATACGTCGCCATACAATCGACTACACTCGATATCGAAACGATGACAGGAACTCCTCTCAAGGATCTAGCGCTTAAGACACCCTTCAAACAAATAGCTGAAGACATGGCCCGGCAAGGTCCGTCGGGATCAGGAACTTTCGGACAACCTGGCCATTCGACTGCGGTAATTATTTGGTAGACATGGGGAAGCTCCGCGGGCTGTCAACATGATCGGCTGAAACTTTCTTCATTCATATCTTTCGCATTTCTCGCTCTCAGAGCTCGGATACGCAGTCGTTCCTCTCGTCCGCCTTCGCAATGCAGCAAGAGGACGCAGTCGATAACGCACCTAAAGTGAGACCCGCTACGGAAACTATGAAAATCGTCGTGGACTCGAGCGTCGGTCGCAGCTCGACCCGATCGACGGCATCGATGCGCACTCTCCCCGCACCTCGGAAGCCTTCCCCGAAAGTGAGTTTCAGATTTGCGACGGGAAACGCTCGAGCATCGTCAACGAAGGGTACAAACCGCCAGATACGATCTTCTGACTTGGGTTTCACTCACCATAAGGTCTCTCCGCCGGGATCTACAACGTCGACGTTGCTTGGGGAAAGAACCCTCGACGGTGAGTCGACGAAATTCAACGGTTCTACAGCACCGCCAGCAACATCTTTCTCGGCTGGACAAATCAAACCGCTTCCGGGGACTCACATTCGGACCCTCGATTTTAGTCAGGCATCATCGAGACGAGAATCCTCGAGCGGTAAGTACAGTTGGGATCTTTCAATCGAAGAGAAAAGCGTTCCCGCCTTCTATGTATAGATATCGAGAGCGATCGATGCGAGCTCACCGTGAGAATCGATGTAGGAAGTGAGCCCACATCCGGTGCGAAGCATCGCGATGACGGCCGGCTGAGCTGATCGGAGGATGAATTTTTGGCCTCTAAAATTATAGGAACCGAGACGGCGCGATCGTTCCGATGCCGGAAGCGAAAGTCACCGGTCGTCAGCTCAGAAGTGCCGGCGAAATCAAAACGCACATCGACCCGACATCATTCCTCGTCCAATCCTGTGGACGAGCGGCGGACTCCACCGACGCACGCCGGTCCTCCAGGAGCGTCTGATGAGTTCTCAAGTGCAGCGGCGATCGCAGCGTCGAACGCTGCGGTGTACAGCGCGTCGACGGGCTTTGACAGCAACCCCGCAGTTATTGTCTCGATTCCGGACAGTCCTCAACCCAAATCGACGTGCCCTAGTCCGAAGAGAGCTCGAGCATCTTCACTAGGTAAGCCCCCTCGGAGACAGGCCATACTCGTGGAAACCGTACCGCCGTCTAAGAAAACGACTCCGAAACGAGTTTCCTCATCGAGAACGAAACCTAGGTTGAGGGCTAGCTTCGCACCTCAGAGCTCTCTGAACGGGACAAGTTCCTCGACGAACGTCACGAATTTCATCTTACCAAGTACCCCAAAGAAAGTCCCCGGTCCCTCGGCCGCTAAGATCCGAGCTAACGGCCGATTCAATAAGCCTAAAACTGAGCCCGTTGAAACCCCTCAAAGCAACGTCGAGTTGCCCCAGGCAGCGACGCCGATCGCTAACACCCATCCTCTAGTCACCGCACCGACCAACAGCGTCCTGAACATTGACATCACGGCACTTTTAGACAAAGTTCACAAGAATCGATAAGATCATCATCGGTGCTCGCCCAGTGGTCTCTCGCCGCCGATCACTGGCTCCACGTATACTCCTGTGAATATGAACACAAAAAAATATCGGGTCTCGCAGAGATTGATGAGAGTTTGAATAAAAAGTTAATGTGTACAGGAAAACCTGCCGTCTCCTGAAGCGGAACTTTCTATCGACGAAACGGAGTGGAGAGCTCTTCCCCCAAGGAACTAGGATTCTCAGTAAAGGAATGGAACTCTTTCGAAGGAAAGCTCTGGTCTACTCTGGGAACCAGAAGTCTACGCGGATCGATATTGGCCGGATGCCGCTGGAAATCCCGATCGACTTGGCTGAGAACGAACTATTCCTCGAGGCCGAAGCTGCGGAGGATCCTCGGATCTAAACTTATCCCAGACCCTGTTCGAGCAACCAGATTCGAATTCAAGGGACCTGAGCTTGTTTCGAAGTGAAAAGAGACTTGTTTATCTGGATATTCCGGCACTGTGAATAATGGTGCAGATTCCTGCCTCATTCGTCTCTTTAATCGATATCTTCTTGCACAGGAGACGACACATAGTCTGCATACGGGTTCCGAATGCCCGTACACGATCCCTAGAATTCGTCTTCATCGCGACGGAAGTGAACAACTCTAGGTCCTTCGTATCCGAAAATTTGGTTGACTTCGTCCATGGTTTTCAGAAGTATGATAGGCACATCATCATCACGTCTCTGGTATAAGATCTCCCCCTCGAAATCGATGAGACCTTTCTTCCTCGCTCTGAGCAGATTTCCGACTAGCTTGTCGGATATCACTGTGTAGAGCTGGAAAGAAGAATAGGCGAGGACTTTATTGAGATGTATTCATCGGCCACAATTATTATAAGGATGACGTGATGACTCGGTAGACGAGACATCGAAGCTGATATCATGCTAAAGCGAGAGGGTACATACACGTGAAATCCAAACCAAGCGCGAAGTCATCGGCGGATAAGCTGGTCTCGTCAGTGAACGGATCGCGTCAAGCATACCTAGGGAGTGACCTAGGGAAAATTATCTCTCGGGGAGCTCTCCTCAAGGTGATCGATACTTCTGATGGAAGGACTAAAAAGATTCTTCCGATTGTTTTACAAGTTTTATTCGATGGTCTCATATTCCACAAAGGGTATGTATCTTACATGGTATGACTCCTGTACAAAGTATGGCTCAAGTATTTACAGCGTCTGCCCGCTTGCCTCGACAACGACCTCTAACTCTGGAGAGGACTAGTGCCGAATTCAGACGGCGCCCGTACCGGAAGACTGCCCAAGATCCGCGAGGGGAACGCTTCCCCGCAAAAGTCTGTGAGTCTCCTTCTCGGTCGATGAGGGGGCTGCTCTTCTGGCGTGGAACTCTTAATCGAGCAAGTGTTGGGGAAGTTCAGCCTCGATCTGACGTCTCACGTGGCCGAGCGTCATTCTCGGTCCGGTGTAATTGAACATCTCGTTCACTTCGTTCATATCCTTCACCAGACTGACGATGACATGATCATCTCTTCTTTGGAACAGCATTTCTCCTTCGAAATCGATGAGACCCTTCTTTCGCGCCCGGAGCATCGTTCCTACGAGCTTGTCGGAGATGACCGTCCACAACTGGAAACGAAGCAGTATATTTGTGCGATCTTGCCGTATCAAATCTATGGCTAGCGAGCTGTCCCCCATGTACAATCTGCTTTCGCCTCTCAATTCCCAATGGATTGGGGTTAGATCCTTAGGGATCGGCCGGAGAACGCACGGTCTCTCGCTGTAATGAACTCTATCGAGGAGGACCGCTTAGTTTTCAGGCTGAGGACAAGGTTCTGTATGGAGTCCCAAAATCACTCCCGCTCCCCGCTCGTGTCGAGATGAGTGCAATTCCATCGGGATCCACGGGGGCAATCAGCGCATGTTTTCCCGACTTTCCACGCACGGACGAGGGTTTCGTCTGATATTTTCGCACCCACGACTTTCTGAAATTATCAGCCGCGGGACGATTTGTAGCAAATTGTCCGTTTGTGCCATCATTGTTCTCAGTAACGCGCTATTGTTGTCGTCAGAACTGAGCAACACAGACCGGGGAGGGCAAGAGAAGATTGGAATGCGTATCGAAAAATGCAGGAAAAAAAGAGAGACCGCTGGCAATGAGAAAGTTCTCTCTTGACGTGGAAGAGACTGAACGTAGTGGTTTTCTGAGGCATTATCCAGCTGCAGTCGAACGCTTAACGATGCATTGTGGTACCACTCGCGGTTCGCAAGCGAATTTCGTGAACAACAGGTTCTCGCCCGTGACACAAGAATTTTTTTCGGACACCCTCTTTTTCTGACGGAGCACCAAGCCTAGAAGACTTTAGAGCCTCGACTTTTCTGTGTATCGGATCCCGACAGACCAAGCCGCGATCATCTGGACACGTTGAACAAATCGCAACATTTGCGGCCGATAAGTGTTCTAGATTAGCAGTCACGCTAGGGAGAGACGATGCGATACTACTCTCGTGCCAAGATGAGCCAACTGCTCGTTCCATCGCATTTGTCTGACTGTGTATTCGCGGTCGCTTTTGTATTACTCTGTGTGTGTGTGTCAAGAGTTCCGCAGTTCGCTAGAAGGGAAGGCTCGATTTAGAAAGCAGATGTTTTAAATTTGTACAAGGTCTCCTTGCGAAATGATGAAAGCGTCCAGGAGAGAATGGAGCCGCATGTGTCCAACAAAGGCGGTGTCTGTCAACACTTTGAATAGATGTTTCTTCTGATGGATTCTGCCTTGATTATTCATAGGTTCCTTTCGAAGTTTCTTCCATCGATCGAGCTCTAGCTCGTTGTCACAGACCCAGTCCATCATCGTTCCCATTGAGGGTGTATTTGACGCTTCTGCCTTACCCCTTGCCCCGAACCGCAGATCGCTCTCCACGGTCGCGATTCATATAGATATCGGAAGCTCAAAGTGGGAATGGATACATCCGATTCCACGGCACGTTGGATGAATCGGAACTCAGGTATAGGGAGGTGTTCCTTCAGAGCCCGCTCCCCTACAGAACGGGTAAATCACTGTCGCGCAGCTCGATTCCGATGTGGGAACCCGAATTCCGCGGGAGGCTGTCCACATTGCGCGAGCCGACACGCAGGCATACCCGGAGCGATGCGATGAAATCGTTTCACTTCAAACTTATCAGTGAAGCGAAATCGTAGGAGCGAGTGTTCAATGTTTGGCGGAATACGGGGGTGTCGCCTTTTCGAAAAACGGAAATAATGTCGATTTCGTGGCTTCTGAATATTTGCTTTACCCAACGATAGCCAGCAGCCTGGCTCTATCCCGCGGGATCTACTTCTGATGTACCAATGTCCTTAGTTGCCCGACCCAGTTCCTTTGGGAACCTTTTTGAGGGGGAAAAAAATGTTCCGGAAAACTCTGATCAGAGCAAACCAATGATCTCTGGGACACTGTCGTGAGCTCCTGGATCGAGAACCCTATCCTAATCCCTGCTACAGCCCACAGAAGTTGGAGCATATCAGGAAGTAGTTAAAAATCGGGTTAATAAGCGTCGCGGCGACGGCTGGTCGGTATTGTCTTGCCTATGGATGGCAACGTCAGCGTCGTCTTCAAAAAACCGAAACATGGTCGGTGATCGACGGAACGATGGCTGGCGAGCGGGCGTTCTTCCTCTCGGACGCCAGAACCAATAACGACGGGGTAAGACAAGCGCCAGTGGTGTAAAAAAAAGATACTATGCTTCCACACACGCTTTTGTTGATAATAAATCTCGCCTCCGACCGATGGCGGGCTTTCCTCTCGGGCGACGGATGTAGCTGCTAGCTAAATCCATAAATCACGAACAGAAGCTTCGTTACTGCTGCTGCTACCAGAATTGAGCTAGTGACCACACGGATTCGACTCGCGAACACTTGGGCACAATTCGAATTCCCAGCTTGGCGAATAAGGCGGTGAAAACGGGGGAACCCAGGTCGGATATCAGGCGTGAGAAGACGGGTGCGTAGACGGCAGTTTCTCCGAACCCACATGCCGATTGAATGCGACAATTTGGCAGTGCCTTCAGGATTCTCGATCGTCGAGGTTGTTTGGATTCGAGCTCCGATCAGGGATGGTATGGTAATCACAGCATGGCCAGTAGGAAGCTGCGTTACAAAGCTGTGTTTGCATCAGAAACATGCTCCCTGGTCCCGGAGCTAGCGGGAAGATAATGTTATTATCTAATTTGGAATGGGGGCCGGACTGAGTGAAATGCGTTAAATTTAGCGCCTGCAGATCCATCAAGAGCGAGAAAATGGCTCGGCCATTCAAGTGGTGAGTCTGCTACGGAGCCTAAGCGAGTCAGTAACTAAGTCACTTATTGTGTGTTCGTCTGTATATGTGTCTACATCATTGTGACGTCACTTCGTCACACTTTATTCAGCAGCCTGCCGCGATCGTTTGAAGCGGCTCGGGTGTTAAACGCTCTGTATGGCCTGTTGTTACCACCTTCCTCGGTTCTCTTCCCCGGGCAAACAGTTGCTAAGCTCGTTCACTGTCGCTTCCTCCGGCTCCCACGGTCTGCTCGAGAAGCGTTCAGGAAGATGACGCAAATCGTTTTGCTTAAGAATTACAGCTCGCATAGAATGAGCGAAGACGAAATTTTCATTATTTGATCGACTGACTTTGCAGTTCGGGGCTCATTGTTGCCCGAAGCCGAAATGAAACTAACACGCTGTGGCGTATCCGACTCCCCCGATTGCGAACCATCGGCATAAGTCGATTGTGTTTCTTCTAGATCACTCGACCCTTAGGCAGAGGATGATGAAAAAACCGCGCGGTGATCTCTCGTTCCCCGTCTCGGAAAAATTAGACTGTGAATATTTCAAGCTTGACGCACATTCCGAACTCGTTCCAGATTCCCACGGTTAGCTGAGGCGACTAAACAGGGGGAATGCTTTTCGTGGCTCCGAACTTACATCAAAAAGTTGACCGAAGGTGATGATGACTGTGCCGTCTTTCTTGTGGTATCCAACCTCATCGATGATTTCGCATAGCTCTCGGACCTCTTTCAGAATCTCTCGCTGTGCTTTCTGACCGCGGAGATCTGTTTTGGAACCGGCCTCAGGACGTCCATAGTTTGGATCATTCTTGTCGATGACCTGAAATATTTGCAATCTTTCATGTATGCGAACGACGCTCAGCGATGCATCAGATCGATGAATTTCGGCTTGGATGAGATATTTTCTTTCATTCCATCCTGAGGTGCAGCGTCCTCTTGCAAGAAAAGAATATCGGAGCTCCTGGGAGGAGCTCCCGTTTCTTAGGCGTGAACGCTACTCGCTGAACCGTCCTAGTGTTGACAAGACACGCTTACCCGCTTGACGCCGCATCCATCCTTATCAGAGAAGAAATTATACTTTTGTTTCTCTGCGTGATTGTCGGCTTTTTGTTGCCACATCGCCACCTTGCCCTTCATGTTCATTCTGGGGTCCACGACTCTAGTGGATGACACGGTGCCCGTGTCATGACCGTGGAGCATGCCTGAAAAAGCAATGACCTGATCAGTTCAGGGAGTCGTCGAAGATGATCATCGGACTTCTGCAAGTGACCCGTGTCGTCTGCCTTCGCGAGAGTCGATTGTTCCTCATGAGCATCCGATGGCCCGAGATTGCTGCTCTTCGCGACTTGATCAATGAGAAAAAAACACGAGCTCCTCGTTCGCCATTTGATGCGAGTTTCCCTTCCACGATGAAGCGGCCTCTGTAGGAGCCAGCCCGCGGTCACCATATTTGAATTACCTAATTCAAATGCACAGAACGGGATGAAATGCATTATCTCCCTTGAAAACTTCCAAAAAAAGCCCCAAGTCAAGATACAGTCAGGGTGGGGGCGCTCCTGAATTTCGCCAATTAACATGAGCGATAGATGTGGATTGCTAATAATTAGTCGACTGAACCGAACAATTAAGTCTGCGTGTTAGGAAGTTTTTTGCTCTTCTTGCGAATCGCGGCAGCTCTGGAAGATTTCTCCTCATCCAGCCTCCATCTAGATTCGGATGGCGCTGGGACGTCGTTTTGCGGAATGAAATCTGAATTGTTTTCACTCGCGATATTTATTCACCCTCTGCCGCTGTGAGTGATTCATGAGATGAAATCAGTGTAATCCGTCGAGAGTCGGAAGAAGGGCTCACTCAGGATTGTTTCCGCTGCGCGACGAGGAATTTCGAAACGAGTTGCCGAGCTGTGCTCAGTTCAGAGACCTCAAACAACCGAATGGAGTTTTGATCCGAATCGATTGCTGATTCCCTCGTGGACATGAGGGTCTTGCCTGATCGGTTCCGCTGCGCGCGGGGCATGCCGGGTGGAAGGCAAATGTCGAGGAGTGTCATAGCCGGCGCATATTAGAAATTCTATTCTATCAACTATTTAATTCGGCTCGTATTCTCAGTGTTGTGAGTAATATGTGGGAGAACGCACACAGCTAAGGGGAACCCAGGTACGAATCGATCGCCTCCCGATTTCAATTCCTTTGATTCTACGCTCACATCTTCTTCCAATATCTTTTGATCTCACGGGGTATTCGCTCGTTGGATGCTTCAATAAATTCCAGAAACGGGAGTCTTTCCCGTGTGAAAGTCGAACGATGATGCAGGGACTGTACCGAACAACAGTCGATTCATACGTCGACCGCATGACAAACGCCGGAAATTTCTCCGCGGCAGATAAATCCACCGCGACCGTCGAATGCGGGTGCCTACTTCTAGAAGTTCTGGTGTTGTCAGGGACGCGTTTGTATCTGACGTTTGTAGGTTTTTCCCAAACATGATGGATTCATATTCCAGACGCTAGCCTGTCCGATCATGGAGCCGACGCCGACGTCCCTTCAGCGCGGGTAAGGAAACTTATCCTTTCGAAATCGGCGGCGTCCGAGTTGTTGTACTGTATTCGGAAGGAGCGCGGATACTTCCACGGCCCTGCCCGGGGAAGCTGCATGTACATTTTTGCATATAGGTACATATTCGGTGCGTTGAGGAACGCAAACCCTCAGTGCGCCAGTTTCTGATTCCGTGGAATGATTCGGCTGCATGGATCGAGGTTGCCAAAATTCCAGGCGGTTCCTTCATGAGCCGGGTGATGAGAACGGCACCGTTACGTGAGACGTCGGTGTCGTCATCGCTATCATCACGAGCAACGGGACCCGATGATCTGGAACCATTTCTCAAGCTAATCTGGCTCATCTCAGAGTCCCATGGTCGTCATCTCTTCTTGTAACGTCCGAAAGCGAAAGAGAAAAAAGGTTTCACCACCGATCGATCCGAGTCCTGAGATCCGTAGCGGAATCCCGCTGTTCGACGACCCACAACCCAGAAACGAATAAAAGAAAAGGAGTCCCAGAAAAAGACCTGCGTATTCCTGGACGGTATACCTTTGCTTACGACTAATCTGACCTCGATCAAGAGACAGAATTGAACGCGATGAGAATGATTCTTTTCATTTCTCGACTTAGAGCGCATGCTGGCTCTCGATGCCGCCCGATCCCGCTTCCACGCGATTCCGGAGAACGGATATGGTGCTGCCTTGAAGGCTTACGATCAGGACGTTTTCCTCGAGAGCTTAACGAAGAAGTGATCGGTGAGCCCTTAGATCGTTCAAGATTCAAAGCATTCGGATCGCCGTGAACAGGAATATTCTTTTGATTCCCACGGTCACTAGAGCAACGGAGTACCGAGAACTATGCGGAATTTCTTTCCCTGATTCCGGGACAGAAGGGCCTCGCTGTTTCCCCTGCGTTGTCAGGCTAAGGATTCGGTTCGACCACAGAAAGGCTTTCGTTGTAGTACGTACAGAGAATTCGTGCCGAGTCCGGGAAATAATAAAGACACTCGGAGGTATTCGGATTAGCTCCCAGGGTCCCTTTTGTGGTATCGAGACATTAATATTTATGAAGGTCCATCCGAAAGTAGCAGATATGAAAGGGGCAGAAAATCGAGGACGGAATGGCCCTGGGCTGGGCGTCTTCATCTTCCATCAGGTTCGAGACTTTGTCGTTCGTCTACACCGGGACTAGTTTTCCGCATTTCCGCAATTTCGGGGTATCTTGATGGAATCATCTCCGATCTGAAGAGCCCAGAGGTAAGCATTCCTCAGCACCCCGCAATCAAACAATGAATGACTGGCGAAAGTTTTGTTATCCTTGCTCTTTGCCCTGTGGGCGTCGGAAGCATTATAGTTGTACGTTGTGTGGGCGCATTGCTCGTCATTTTGTCCGGAATGATCCAACCTCCTGCATAATACACGAGTTTGGGAACAACAAATAGTTCGGCGTGTGCAATTTGTTCCGCGACGGCGCGGCGGTGCGATGATGGTAAACTTTACTATTCAACGCCTACTGCCGAGCTCCGGCAGATGCAACACGAGCATGAAGAAGCACTTAATCGCACGTAGCGGTCATGAAGACGATCGAGGACAATATCGCATCATTCCGACAAGCCAGGCTTGTGGGTTGGGTGCTACGCGACAGCACGTTTGTAGGCGCTTGGCTCATTGATCGCTCTCCTATCACTCGCCTCCGCAGAGGGTCACGTGCGGAAGAGTCCCGAGGGAGATCCGAGTGTATCCGAATTCATCGTGCACTGTTGAGGGAAATCTCTCTCTCCGCCCGCCAGGTAAGAAAATGCTTCTCGGGGAAAAGTCGCGGGTTGTGGCGTACCGCACCCGCGACTTCGCGAGTCGATGAACTATAAAATTCTCCGAACGATCTTCCCTAGCGAAATCACCAGGGGCCTTCCGGATCCTCCAGTGAAAGCGTCAGCCGGAACGCGCAATACGCAGGTAAATATGTCCAGCCTGTCTACCGATGAGGTTTGCGACGAAGATTTCCTGAAGAATGGGACTGGATTCAAAGGGCTATCGTAGGCTCGATAGAGGAGGATGCTTGAACAATCAACTCGAGACTGACTGTTCCCACTAGGCACACCTACAGAAACTATCCTCATTCCGCAAGCGGCCCAATCGCGGCTGCCACATAGCTCACGCATCGAGGGGGATTTTTCAGAATGGGACGTCAGACCGAGCGTCGACAAGCGAAATTGCATCTTCCGATGGAGCGAGCTCCTGGAGGAATCAGCGGCCGGCACCGAGCGTACAAACTCCGCTCGCTTGGAACATCATTCCGCTCATCATTTCGCAATGAGCTGAGCACTCCCGAAAATATTTTTAAGCTCCGGACGTTTTGCGCTCGATTTGCTCCCGCCGTCGCGTCTCTCCTGTTCGTGCAACGAGCACGTGCTCGACTCGCGTGCGAATCGCTGCCACTCAGTGGGAGAGCGGCGATGAAACCCCCCCAACTCGATTGCGGCGATTACGCTGAAAGTATATATATGTGCCTCGGTTTATTTTGAACGATCATCATTTCACTAAACCTCCTTATGGACGGAAACCGTCACCTTGTAAGGGACGCTTTTGTTCCCGCTCATCACCTCTGCGTTCGCGGAAGCTCGTGCGGCCGCTGTTGTCTTCGAAGGGGACCGCATGACGACAAATTCGAGCGACGCTAATACATGGAATCTTTCACTAGAAACAAGAATGCCGTCCCTCTTCATTGAGTGAAGAATCCTCACTCCCACCCGTCGATCAGCAAGCAAAACCACAAAAACCAATTTAGTTAGCGATCATGGTGTGGTGGATCTCAGCTTTCGCAGTCACGAAGTGCGTATCCTTATTCGGGTCTCGACAGGTTTGCTTCCGTCGCGGACTTTCGGCAGAGGCCCGAAAAATCGCCGAGACCAGCACGAGCGAAATATCGTCTCTTCTCTTGGTGAAATACTTTTCACGCTCGGAGGATAAGAGAGGAATCTGAAATCCATTCGCCGTCGAGCTCAATACTGCGAGCTTCTGGATCTCGGGGTATCTTCTCACATTCAGGAAATCCGAGATTCGGATCTCGAGGGGGAACTTTAAGAATCTCGCATCGAGAAACGTGTCCGGATCCGCGTCAAGCCGAGGCTCAAAATGGATCTTGAGCGCTCAAGGACGAGTGATGGGGGCCGTCTGACCCGGTACGATTCCCGATACTGTCATGTGGTGGGATATCGGACGCCCGCTTAAGAACGGGGACAGGAATGATTTGCTGGAATTTTTGAAGAAAAAAAACGTTCGACAAGCCGAGCATTCCGTCTCTCGCTGCAGCTGTTCTGGTCCTTGGCGCCCTTTGCAAGCTGAGCGAGAACGAAGGAAGGAGGACTCACGAGCAGGGCTCGAGAAGATTTCGTCGGCTCATTCCGATAAGTTCCGAGTTCGCCGCATCAGAAGTTCCCTTTCCAATCAAATCGCTCTTAAATGAGTACGCGATTTACTTCCACGATTTGGAATGAGCTTTCTCAGGGCTCAGAGCGGCGCGTTGTATCATCATCATCCCTATTATGAAACAATGAAATTGAGTCGGATCGCGTGAAAACCTCCATCTCAATCAAGTTCATCTATGTTTTCAGACTACGGAGGGGGTTTCTAGAAACGCTCCACCGACCTCGTCGTGATCGAAGC